TTACTTTAGTTTTGATGCAAAAACGCATGATCACACCGGCTCGCCTGGTGCGTTCCAGCCTTTGTTTAAAGTGCAGACTAAGTGCATGAATAAAGCACTGAAAGGCAGAGGATGTACCACTTATTCCTTTCACATATAGAGGTGCATACTAAGCCCAGGCCGTAACTTCAGTTTTTTCAGCACATGGGTTCGGCGTCCGATAACATCTCGAGTATCGGTTTTAGGTTATACGAAATTTTGCTGCGCTTTATTTTCATCCCTCTTATCAAAAGGTAATTTCTTCAAATTGTATAACGGTGGTAGAGCTGAATAAATATGAAACAAGAAAAGGAATGAAGAAGTTAAGCTCCAAGAAAACAAACTTACCGAAAACGTTCAAAAAATCTCGGCCCGAGCCTACCTTTATTTATCGAAGAATAAAGATCAGCGAAATCGTAGCTCTGGGTCAGTGGTTCGAGTGGTAATAATTATTTCAGCGTACGCAGTCGAACTGCTCAAAATTCATTACAGATACTTTGACGAAATTGTGCAAGATGCCCGTGAATCATTGTATATATATTTTCCGGACGTGAATTATACGGTGTACGTTGGTATTCGACAGCAGCATGGAGTTATGTTCGTTTCAACAATTATTTTACCCGGCTGGGTTGGTGGTTCAAATTCGTTAGAGGAAGACTGAGGAAATCTGATTTCGCAACGATTCGTTGATTAGTTTTGATGCGTTGATTAGTATATTAGTAGCAGCACATGCTGGAAGATGGATCGCCTTTACCTTGTTTCCAAATACGTAATGACCATCGGACTAATGGGAAAGGTGGGCATGACCTGCCTTGTTTGCAGAGGGGGAGGGTATATTCCGTCACGCAAAATATGCAAATTTTTAAGTGTGTTTGTACCGAAGCTCGTTCAGGAAACCATAATTATTTTAGGGCTGGCAAACAGCCAGCACCGGTGAAGCTGTTTCTCAGGAAGCCGATCAAGTTTTGCTTCCGAATATTACTGGATCCAAAAATTGGACTCGGTGAAGCATATATGTATAAACACTGGGATGTACAGCCGAAAATCCAGGATTTTTTATCATTACTTATACGTGCTAAACGTAAGTTTAGATAGATGGGATTTTTTGTGTTCCGATTTACAAAACTTATTTTAATTAATGGATTTCTAAACAATTGGGAGCTACTCTGCAATTGTCTTTTAATTGGAACACTAACTTAATACTAGAGGCCAGATCCATCTATACGTAGCTTGCAAAATTCATCCTTACAGCACGAAGCACACGAGATGTCCAGCTATCGCTAACGATCACCGATTAAATTTTTGATCAGTATTTTCAATTTTGATACGAACAAATTCCCAGGCACCTGGCATTAAATGAAAAAATGATTGTAATTACTGATTGCATTTTTGATTAATGTTTTTGATTTCTATTTTTAATTTATTTCCGAATGTCAGTAAAACACATGATAACACGGGTCCATCTGTTGTGCATTGCCAATGATTTAAAAAAAAAATTTCAAGCTGTACCAGTGCCTACACCTTTATTCCTATTGCGTTTTCATTCCAGTGATAAAATGATACGCCTTTTTCAGGACATAATTCCGGACGTAACACAGAAGGCTTTTCTTTTTGCTTCTGGCGTAAAGTATCAAATGCGTTTGTCAGAGTTATTACACAAGTGATCCGAAAAGTGGTTTCGCTACTCAATTCGGTGCAGCACTATATGCATGCAAATTCGTTGCGTGGCAGCGCGCGAAATATTCGTGACCACTACGATCTCGGAAACGAGATGTTCAGTTTATTTCTCGATCCATCAATGACGTATTCATGTGCAACTTTTCATGGTAACGGTTGTGCTGTTTGGAAAATCGGTTTTACTAATTTATTTAAAATCTGGTCCCTAGACCTTATCCGGAACCTAGTCTCCTTGAGGATTTTTCAATTCATCTCGAATATTGGGTATAGCGAGGCGAAAGTAACTCTGTTATTGCGAGCAAGGCCGTGGGCCCCAATCCGCCCCCTATGAAAACCAATCCTTGTTCATTTGTTTCGACCAAAAATTGGTACTGACACATGCTATAAGTCAATCCTGCCATAAGCTTGTTTGTGAGCAATGTTCAAAAGAAGGAGCCATCGACAGGTTTGCAAACGAGTGGTCGCTATTGGCAGCTTCTACCATTTTGATTAACACTGCATTTACATCCCGCATCTCACACAGATCGGTTGCAGTAGTGGATTTTGACTTTAGCGCGAAGCACTTATCAAAGAATACCAAGACCGCCCGGGCAGTTACCATTTTAGTGATTTTGCCGAAACCCCCATTTCGCCCGCCCCTCTCCCCCTTTCCCTCATCGCTCCCTTCCCCATTCCGACACTAGAAACAACCACGCCAGGCGTTTTGTTCGTGAGTTGCGTACCTCTGATTAGTACTCAACATTTATTCAATGTATATGTGCCATCTCTTCGTGAGCTACCCGGTCACTTACGAATAGAAGAAAAGGAAAGCAAGCTGATTGGCTGATAAGGTAAATGATTACGTCTTATCATCACTCAACAAAGGTTTATCTGTTTCGTAAGCATTATTGGTTGTTTGCAGAAATTCCGCTGGAAGTAACACATTCGGACAGTAAGCTTCTTGAGGAAGCGCAGATGCGAAAATATGATTTAATCTTTAATGATCTGGATATTCGGTCAGAGGATCATGTTTTGGAAATCGGTTTTGGTTGGGGTGCCTGTGCTACCCGCGCTGTAAAGCGTTATGACTGCCAGTGGACTGGACTGACCATTTCTAGCGAACAACTGAAAACTGCTCAGCAGCGAGTACGCAGTGCTGGAATTCAAAACAAAGTCAATCTAAAATTGTTGGATTATCGGTATGTTTCTGACAGAGGCCTGCTCTATCTTTTGTAAAAAAGCTGGGATAATTATAATCTCAATCATAATCATGATGTGACAGAAGTGTTTTACAGTGCTATAGGCAATTCGAGATATCCTTAAAGAGTTTTAATCATTACAACCTTGTTTCGGAAGTCTCCACTAGTAGTTCGCGATGAGGTACCGTAATTAATGAGCCAGATGTTTAAAGTATAAATCAATTACAGCTGCCTTGCATTTTCAAAGGGACAGCAGTGGATGAAAGTAGCGTTTTGTGAGAGCTCTTGCCACTCTTCCACGAAAACTTGATGGGTCCTTAAAACTTGGCATGCCAGTCAGACAGTCGAGAAGAAATTGTTGAAAATTCTGCGAACTTGCAGATTAGAGAAAGGCGTTTACGATAAAGTAATCGCTATCGAAATGATCGAAGCAGTTGGGCACGATTATTTACCACAGTTTTTCAAGACTCTTTGTGATCAACTTCGGCCTGGTGGTAAAGCGTTTTTGCAGGTAAAAGTGCTTTTGTGAATAGAATGCTAATGTCTGTTTTTAGCTATTTGTTACTACAAGCAAAAAGAGGAGCTGTTTTCCATCTTGCATTTTTCTAACAATGGGAATACTTTTCCCATGATTTTTTTAATAGCCGAAGAAAATTTTTTAATAATACTTGGCAAGAATTGAAAATAGTAAGCTGTTTATGATAGCTAAGTTAGACAGTATAGAACGGTATGCTTGTGAACGTCATACACTTACATCAATAAGTGCTTGTGCTGTGATATGGAGCAGAAGGGCCACAGGGTGCATGGAGTAACACATCACGGTTCAAGGAATCCAGAGATAGTAAAAGCAGAAGTTCGATTCCCTCGCGGCCAATGCCTTCACAGAAAAGAGTTCCATTCGGGGCATTTTTCTTGAAAAGTAAGCATAAGTCGGTCCAAGTCTCTATGTTCAAACGTACCAAAACCCAGTATCAGTTCCCAGTCAAAACAAATCACAAGAAACTGGCTTTCGAATGGCCATCTTTAAATCGAATTGTCTAATGCCATAGGGGAACTAAAAAAGGGAAAATCTAAAAGTGCTGAAGAATTTTTAAGGCGATCACTTGTCCGGAGAGCTATTACGAGCGCTATCGTCGTTCAAGTGATTTCATCAAAAAACATATATTCCCAGGAGGACATATGCCTTCGGAGCGCGCCATTCGAGAAGCGCTACCGCCAGAGTTGACAGTAACCAAAATACATCATATTGGACATCATTATGCACCAACTTTAGATTTGTGGTACTTGTAAGTCCTGTCACTAACTTTTGCTTTCCTAAATTATTATCGTAGTTTTGTTCCTTTATTTTTCCACTACTAATTTACACTTTTATATTTTTTCCAAACAAATGCTTCCTACTTCTCCACATACTTACCATTCAGCGAAATTACTAAACACTGGCATTTCAGTGCCTGGATAGAGCGCGAGAAAGATGTATTGAAGCTTGGTTACTCTTCCCAATTTCATCGCAAATGGCAGTTTTATTTTGCGCTCTGTTCAACCTTATTTCGATACTCGCACATTGATACCGTTCAAATGCTTGTCGAAAAACGTGCATAAATATTGTTTCTCTTGACAGATCTTGAAGTCTGGCATGGATGAAAAATCTATTAAGTCAAAAACTGAATGCCGCAAAAGACAAAAATTTATGTCTATCCGAATCTGAAAATGAGGCAATTCGGTTATTTTTACGAATTTTCTTTTTAATTAAGGATGCTAAGATCATCAAGAAAATCGATATGAGTCTCCTAAGCTAGTGATATTACTGAGGTGCTCCTGAACGCCGGACATTTTACAAGGATCTTCGATTCTGAACAGCATGCCTCCAGTTAGCACTCGTTGTGTTTACAACTTGTGTGCGCCCTCTCTTCAGAGTTTGCCCGAGTGGTCACTTACTTTTATTTTCTAGCCAGCACCGTCAAATAATACGTAACGTCCACCGATTGTTGGCAAGAGTCTAGAATATAATTTACAAAAAATCTAAATCAGGGAGGTTGAGTGAAATTTCGCAGTGATGTTCACTGTATCCATATTTGCTTTATTTTGATTCTCAATAAATTTTTCTTGTTTTTTAGCACTGTACACGAATCAAGAAAGATTCTTTTTTTCCTACACAGATACTAGATATAAGACAGACATGAAAACGATAAACTAAAAATACAATACTTCAGCACAAAGATCATTCAACTAGCGCTAGTAGCAGCATCCATACACTTAGCTTACATGTATCTGCCTAATACCTCACGTAGAAAATTTGCCGGCTGGCTTATACTTTACGTGATCATTGAAAAGAAGGATCGCGCCAACTCTTCAGTACCACTGTGCTGAAGCCAATAAATGCTGAACTAGAACACTCACAAAACTTGAAGAGCAAACGCCGGCTGTAATGGAGAAAGCAATTGTGTACCAGAACTCGAAGCATCTCTTGAGACAACTTAATAATAAAACTATGCGTCAGTGAAACAGTCTGTCCTATTACCTTAGGATATTGGAAAAAAATAAAATTTAGTGGCCAAGTCAAGTCGCCAACCGTGCCGGCGTTCGAAAGAAATCACTTATCAGCAAGTAGTGTCCCTGGGAACGCAAACGAATACTCGAGTGATCGAAGAAGTGGCACAAATACATCGAACAGGTGGAAGAGTGCTAACTGAAGATGGCAGCCCAGGATTAAATGTTCCGATATAGCTGCTTCCATTATGTGGAAGCATCCCCGTAACATCAATACAGCAACTCTCCTAATGGCTTTGGTATTCATGATACTAATAAACATTTACATCAATAAAAGAATGAGGTAATTAAAATGCTAGAAGAAATAGGACAACGAAAAAGTCCAGTCCTTGACTATTTTAGCCAGATACATCAATCGACTACTCAGGTAGAGAAATAGTTATTATTTGTCATCAAGGATTAAGGCCCAGGATTTGGTAAAGAGAATGCTGTTTGTAAACGGAAGCATGCTTAAACTCCCCCCTATCTACTTTCTATAAGTAGTGAGTTTCTCAACATAGTTTTCGAACCACCCACAACGACTATATTTGCCATAAAATGTGGATTGGTACACAGGCCAAATACCGTAAAATTTTGACAGAATAAAAGCAAAGCGAGCAAAAGCTTGGCTTTTTTCACCCGTTCTTTATAAAAGGTGGGAGAATTCGCTGGTAGCTTGAGTCATAACAGACGCCACACCAGCTGGTATAGCTATCGATGGAATCTTCGAAATTGTCAATTTCCCAGCTTTTACTTGAAAAAGCTAAAACTCTAAAAAGCATATGAGCAGAAATATGAGCAGAAATGTGTCAAAGCTAAAAAAACCCGAAAGATTCGTAACTGTTCTTTAAATTGTTCCTTTTACATTCATTTCCTTCACGCCTAGCGTCCTAGCCAATTCTGCCTAAAAGACACAACTGTGTTAATCGATTACTCCGGTGTGTTTTTAACTTGGAATTTTCACAATTTAATTAGTTTTGTGATGCATTCTGTCAGGCCAAACTTTCTAACCCAACTTCTAGTAGTAAGATGTTCAAGGTCTACCAACCAAAACTTCACTATGAGTTGTAGTGGAAGAGCACTCGCTTTTCACAAATTATTAGTAATTGTAAATAACAT